ATCACTATTTAAGTCCTTGTAAACAGGAAAAAAAAATTTGCTAAAAGTGGGAAAACCATTTGAGGAAAATTTCTATTTCTTAAGCCCATAGAAATTAACGAACCTTTTGCCTTCACTACACTTTTCAATTGTCCTCCAAAAATATCACTAAGCTCTGAAGGAACGAAGCTTTGTGTTCTTGTAACAGCAGATGAGTTCTTTGGGCCAACTGTCTCCCATTCATCATCTTCAGCAGAAGAGACAAGAGATGACTTGGCTCCATTGGTGTTAGCAAACTGTCCTTGAAGCTTAAGTAATTCATCATGCATTTGATCCATTATAAAACTTAGAAACTCCTGAGCGTCTTCCTGCCTGAAAAGAATAATCATGTCAGAAACCAACTTCCAGATCACCCACATGATCATAATACAGTTCATAGGTAATAGCAAGGAATGTCTAGATGCAACAGATGCCAAGTAATTAGCCAGTAAAAACCCATTTTCAAGTTCCACCTCACCATATCTTCAAGATTTTAGTCAACTCAACCGACATGTAACATTATACAGTTTACCAACCACAGTAATTGCATTCTGAGGATAGAATAGAAGGAATATGATTACAGTGAAGAACACAGAAAGCAGCACAGCAGAAGATCAAGGAATGGAAATACAAAAGGAGAAAAAAAGAATCATCCTAATTGAAAAGGAAGATATAAATAAGTTTTAGATCCACACAGCATAGCAAGCAATACTTTATAGTTCAAGCCTAAACTGTTACCAAGTAAAAGAAATATCTAATGATAAATGGAAGAGAAGATCAACTAGATCCCAAGAACACAAACCTTGGTCTGCCGGATATGCTGCTTGGCACATCTGGAGTAAAATTTTTAAGAACAGCTTCAAACATGGCAGGACTAAAAGGCCTCCCAGTTTCAACGTAAGCCACATCTTTCTTCGTAATCCTTGGACTAGAAGACTTGTCGAATTCAGAGATGAACTCAAAAAATGCAGTTAAAGTGGGATATCCAACCTAACAAATTACAATCCAACAAAACTAAAGCTTTAGCTTCAAGCTATATCAAATTTTAGTAACAAAATTAACAATGTAATAAATTTTATTATCAGCTGATTTGCTTATGATTTGTGCACAAAATCATAAGATCCACTAAACATATAACAAAACAACACAAAAAAAAAATACATAACCTTAAAGTATACAGAAGGTATAAAATAGATGAGTAGACCAAAAGAAAATTAAGGACAGACATGTTCAACACATACAGCCATGAACAAAGCATCTCCATCTTCAGCATCAGATAAATAAAATTTAGAACATGAAAAGGAATTAACCTTCAGTATGTCACGAGTTCTAAGTTCATGCAAGAGCTGAACAAAAGGGGAACAGGACAACAGAGCCTGTAGAGTTGCGTTAAGAAAGCATAGATTTCCTAAGTTGATTAAACCTCTGGGCAGTAAGTCTCTAGCACTTTTAACAGGCTCACTAGTTGTCTTCCAGACCTCCTGTTTTGACACGGATATTGATGAACCATATGCAGTCCCATTCTGATACCCATCCTTTACACTTACACCATCAAGGACACAAAATTTTGAACTTGGGTGTGAATATGAATGACCGCCTTCATTCTGAGATAAGCTTAACGAGGTTAAATCAATACCGTCTGTTTTCAATTCTTTAACACCATTACTGAGGGCAGTGCCATTAGTAGAATTCTTAATGTTTCCATTTTCTATAGTTCCTTCCAAGGCTCCTGGAAACTGATTATTTGGTGCGGTTACAATCTTTATTTTATCATCCTTCCTAACAGGAGTTGAGGGCTGAAGAACAACTGGCCCATCTGCAGTACCTAACTGTCCACTTGGTTCACCTTTCAAACCACCTGAAGAACTTCCAGTCAAATCGAAAGAACCAAAGAGCAAATCTTTCTCTTCCACGGGATTTTCAGCTCTCCCTGACGAAACAGGTTTTTTAGCACTTTCAGATGATCGTTTTACCTGCCATGACCTTGTCTCTTCCTCAGTGAATGACCCAAACAGTAGTACCTGCCATCACACAAAAAACACCCGGTGAACTGCCAGAACTTAGAAGAACAACACACACAACAACAACCAGATCATTCAACAACAGCATTCTTCACATTACCCTAGTAAAGCTAGATTAATCACAAGGAGTACAACATTCTATAAACTAATTCTATGTAAACAGAGATAACATCCAAATCAAATAAACCCTTAAACAAGATAGTTAGAATACACTAGAGCTTCATAAATCCAGGCATCCTTCACCATTAACAAAAAGAAATTGTTTACCTAACACCAGCCAATACTCTTACTACCACTTCGTTCACAATTCAAGAATGTTCAGCCCATTCTACAACTTCTCCTGTTTCTTCCTTTAGCTTTAGAAAAGCTGGTTAATTTCTTATTCTTAATACATCTCAGAGCTTTCATTCATAAATAAACTAGTTTGCAATAAATCCAAGCATATAAGATTCAATAAATTACATAAATCCAATATTTTTTTTCCAATTTAATGATTAAAAAATCAAAAAAACAAAAAAAAAACTGACCTTAGAATCAGTCATGTTTTAAATGCGACGTAAACCCTAGAAACCGGAGACCTAAAACGACAAGGATTAAAGAGAGAAAACGCGAGAGGTATAGAAAAGAGATGAGAAACGAATCGAGCTAGGGTTTGAGAGCACACTGGTGCAGCACACAAAGAAGAAGAGAGAGAAAGAGTGTTGATTGAAGACATGAAAAAAAGAAGAAAGAGTGTTTTATATTTGAAGAAGAGAGAGAGCATTTAACAAACAGACCCTCTCCTCTTCCTCTTTCGATTAGCTCTCTAATTCCAAGCATCGACTGTATTTCAAACCCTTATACGGGAAGATGACAAACTCCCGAAATTCAGTTTGTTTGTGACCCTCTAGGGTTTGGATTTTGATTTGTTTAATGTTTTAGCCTTATCAAAGAAGGACAATGGCTTAGGGTGTTGTTTGGCTGCTGTCTTATTAAATAAACGCTTTTTATATATTTTGTTTAAATTAATAGAAACTTGTCAGACACGGAAGTCAGTTTTTTTTTTTTTTTTTTTTTTCAAAGAAAATAGTGTTTAAATAGAATTAATAAGTTTATAGGACGCATTTTGGGGTTTCAATAATGCTACCGGGACTCTTATTCGAATTACGTGTCTCCTTACTCACACCAATTACGTTTTTCGTTCATAAATATTTTATCAGTGAACGATCATTCATCAATTATGGACGATCATTCAATATGGACGAGAGTCCACATTTAAAGGACGCTAGTTCATTAGTAAATAAAAAAAATAATATAAACAAAAATAATAGATAATCGTTCATAGGTTATGGAATAAAGGACGGACGTCCACATATAGTGGACGTCTGTCCAATCTTTAAATAATAAAATTTATATAAACAAAATTAATGGACGAACGTTCATATGTTAATGGACGCCCGTCCATTATTAATGGTTTTAAAAAATTATAAACAAAATTTAGGGACGCCTGTTTATATATATATTATGGATGACAGTCCTTGATTAACAAATTTATGAATTTTTGGAGAAGTCATAATTTGTTTATAATTTTTTAAAACCATTAATAATGGACGGGCCTCCATTAACATATGAAAGCTCGTCCATTAATTTTGTTTATATAAATTTTATTATTTAAAGATTGGACGGGTGTTCATTATATGTGGACGCTCATCTTTTATTTATAGATGGTCGTCCATAACCTATGAACGGTTATCCATTATTTTTGTTTACATTGTTTTTTCATTTAGCGATGAACGAACGTCCTTTAAATGTGGACTCCCGTCCATATAATATAGACAGGAGTCTATCGTAAGTGAACGGTCATCTATAGTTGATGAACAGTTGTTCACTAATAAAATATTTGTGAACGTGAAACGTGATTGGTGTGAATTATAAGACACGTAATTCGGTGTAAAGTCTCGGTGTCTGTAACATTATTGTTTGGGCTTAACGTTTAAGAATAAGAGTGTAAAGGTTTGCAGTTCTAAAATGGACAATATCTATTCAGCTATTGGATTGATACAATGACTCTTTCCTCTTATTATAAATTTCTTTCAGCCATATGAATCACTTGATAATTCATTGATCCTCGTATCAGAGGAGGAAAGTAATCTAATATAGTAATATTATCTTTGGTAATCAAGCTAGAAAAAGAAAAATATAAATATAAATAGAAAAAAATTAAGAAAAAACATTGAACAGTTACTAATTGTGTGTGATTTTTCCATCAAGTTTGGGTTACCACAAGAATATAGCTTAACCCATGATCAGTCTAATTCTACCGGTTGTCTAACTCAGCATAAACTCGTCAACATACAGCTCAATTCAGCACAAGCTAATCGCGAATAACCTGAATGATCATTCAATCAATTCCCAAATAACTTTAGATCTCAGATATTGCGGGATTGACTAAATCAACAACATTCTCTACGCAATCACAGCGCTTAATCGGAAAAATATTAGACACTTTTTCCTTTGTATAAACCTTATATATAAATCCCCTTAAATGATGAAAAATAAATAATGTAAGTTCTCGCAGCAAATACAAAAAACAGTGAACGTAAACTTAAAAATTTACCTTGCTAAACCATTTTAAAAATTCTCGTTGCCATTTATTTTATTGCATTCAATACTTGATTATCCGTAATTACGTGCATATCTATTCCATTTATTTGATTGCATTCAATACTTGATTATCCGTAATCACGCGCATATCCATTCCAATCGCGCCAAAGTTCGAATTATCTGATAGGTGCAAATGTATGTATCAACAATTATTGGGTGATGAAAATGGTAAACTGTCAAATCTGAGTTGTTTAGCAGTAAATTAGAAAAGAAGAAAGTAGTTGGTCTTCGTCTTCCTCCCCTCCCTCTCAGGCTCTCAACACTCTCAAATGGATATATATCTCTTCTGAAATTGACATCCAAACAAACCCGTTAAAATTCATATCAAAATTCAACTACACTTGGTATTGTTCATCTTATTGATCTTTACAGAACACAACACTGCTTGAGAGATCTCTTTCTCTCTCAAGTCTCCACCACCACTATGCCAACTTATTACCAGCAGCACCACCGTGCTACTCCTTTACTTTCTTCTTCTTCGCAATCTTCGTTCACTTCGAGGCTACTTTTACTTCTCACTGTCCTTCCTCTTTCTCTCGCTTTGTTGGCTTTCTTTCTCCAATGGAAAGGCGACGCCGGCCTTACTGATCCGGCAACCGCTACTTCAACCGTCTCGCGCTGGGCTCCTCATGGCTCCCACCTCCAAAACCATGAGGTGTTTCCTGGTATGGAGTCCTCTTCTCTGTCGCCCAAAGCTCAGCATTTCTCGCGCTCCGATTGTACTAAACTTATACGGAGCTCTTCGCCTTCTTTTCCTTATTACCGAGACTGGAAGTTTGACTTTGACTCCGATTTGAAGCCAAAGGTGCTCTTTTTTAACTATTTTCGATTGTGGGATTTTGAAGTTAGGGTTTCTTTCTTTCTTTTTATGGTGGTTTGTTTTTATTTTTGTTAAAATGTTGTTTTCTGATACTGATCTGATTTAAGTTCTGCATTTTTGTTGATTGACGCTGCTGAGATTTCTCTTATTGAATGTTTGATTGGTGTTTTTAGGGAGTTCCTGATTTAAGGGTTGATCTGTGTTAAAGTTTGCTTTTTGTTGCTGTGTATTATGTTGGGGTTTGAGAGGAAAGTTTAATTACTAATATCTTTTCTGGTTAGCTTGAAATCTGAGTAAATAAAGAGGAAGTTGAGCTTGTATTATATTCTTAAACTAATTAGTGGCAGTTGATTTGTTGCTCTTTGCATTCATTTCCAGATTACTGAGACTGGAGGTTCCTATGTTGATTCAATGTTATCTTAAAAGTTCCGATTTGAGCTCAAATTCTTAATTTAATCGATATTTTTGCTCGTTTGTCTACTTGCTACCATATTGAAATCATATAGTGAAGTTAATGATGATACCCAATGTATATTACTATACACCAACTAAACTTCGATTGTGAGTTTGATTGCTGCGTCAAGTCAGATACAGTTCTTTGGGTAATCTTCCCTTAAAATTGTTGTATTGTTTTGGTTTAATATGAGGTGTCCTACTTTTTGTTTATAATGAACTCTGGCTAATGGAACTATACTATTTAATCTATCTGTACAAGCCTTGTATAAATGGGATGATTGTTTATGCCTTTATGCAGATATGTATTACAACAAGTACATCAGCTGGCTTGGAGCAGATTCTGCCATGGATGTTCTATCACAAGGTCATTGGAGTGACAACCTTTTTCCTTTTTGTGGAAGGAAAGGCTGCATCTCCTGATGTGTCTAAAGTTCTGGAATCTATTCCAGTGAGTTAAAAATAACAATTTCCTTTTCATAGGTAAGGTCCACTTTGATTTGCATTACGCTGTTTGTTTTTCTTTAATTTTTGTGGCTGTTAAAAATTGCATTTCTTTCTCAGGGAGTGAAAGTGATTTACAGAACAAAAGAGCTAGAGGAGCAACAGGCTAGAAGGTTGGTTGAATTTGCCATCTTTACTGTTGTAGATTCTGTATATCCCTTATTTGTTTTTAAGCCAGTCTAGACTGTTCACAGTTTATCCGTGTTTAGCTCAAGCAACTTTTTACTTGGAACCTTTTGGACTTGACTTATATCTTGCCTCTTTTTGAGATATTTTGTTTCACATACTAATTCTGTTTTCTTTTGGGATCATCAGCCGTATCTGGAATGAGACATGGCTATCAAGTTTCTTTTACAAACCCTGCAATTATGAGCTGTTTGTGAAGCAATCTCTCAATATGGAAATGGCTATTGTTATGGCAAGGGTATGCTTTGTGAACCATTGTCATTAGTTATTGCTGGATGAGTACTGATTTTAATCTGATATACATTTTCTGTTACTTAATGAAAATATTAGGATGCTGGCATGGATTGGATACTTCATCTTGACACGGACGAATTAATACATCCAGCTGGTGCTCGTGAGTATTCTTTGAGGCAATTGCTTCTTGATGTGCCTGGAAATGTGGATATGGTTATATTTCCAAATTATGTGAGTGGAATTATTTATACTATTAAAATGCTTTGCTAGTGATAATATCAATCACGAATTTACAACAATGACAAATTAATCATTATGTTCTTTCTATGATATGGCTTGACATATAGATGATGATATATATTTTTTTCCTGCAGGAGAGCAGTGTTGAACGAGACGACATCACTGATCCTTTCAGCGAGGTTTTTCTCCTTTATTTTTTCAATGTCCATGCTTTTGTCTTGGTTTAACAGATTGAGCTTTTGAAGTTTGAGTTAACCTTTGACAGAAATATATACCTTGGAACTGTATTATATGTGTTGTTTATCTTGTATTAGTTAACATGTGTTCAACCAATTGGACTAGTCAGTGTAATAAATTTTGGGTTGGAAGTTGAGCTCATTAATTCAGTAAATGACAGAGATTATATTATGGGAAATTTCTCATGTTTTAATGAAACAGTGGTGGTAAATTATTCTTGGATACCGCTAAATGTTCTGGGAGATCACTTTCATTGCAAAGCAAAAATCCATTTCTATAGCATCATATTTGCTTGTCCTTGATGATTGACTTATTTTATAATATGTTTGGTATGTTTCATATTCCTGTATCTTTGTGAACAGGTATCAATGTTCAAGAGGAACTATGACCATCTTCTAAAGGATACATACTTTGGCATGTATAAAGAAGCTACTCGGGGAAACCCAAACTACTTCCTGACTTATGGAAACGGAAAATCAGTTGCTCGAATTCGTGATCATCTTCGTCCTAACGGTGCACATAGGTGGCACAATTATATGAAAACCCCAAAGTATGTAATTTGATATGTTAATCTAGTAAGGCATACATCATTACACATGCATATGCATATGATTGCTTTTTACAATGTCACACATGAGCAGATGTTAGTAGGTATTGTTGGGGGGGAGAGATTTGTATATATATTCATTGAAGAAGATAGCAATTTTATGGAGCAACAGTATATTATTCTCAAATTTAGCAAATACAAGTTGTTTATTTCACTCCTCTCCCTCTCCTCCACTTCCAAAGGATTAAAACTGTACATTAATGTGATTATGTGCCATTGTAATCCTTATTGTGCTATTTGTTTTGCTGTTGTTTAATTGTAATGGTAGCAAAAATACAATTGTTCTTCTGAATGACTTCTTCACAGCAATAATTGTGCAATACTGTTCTTTTCAGTGAGATTAAATTGGAGGAGGCTGCTGTTCTACACTATACGTACGCCAAATTTTCTGACCTGACATCCAGACGTGATAGGTGTGGCTGCAAGCCTACAAAGGAGGATGTCAAAAGATGCTTTATGTTGGAATTTGATAGATCTGTGAGTTCAGTGTTGTCCTTTTTGTTTCTTGATTATTTCAGCATTTTATGTGTTTCTTTTTTACCAAGTCCTAAAATTAAGTTTGTGCGGCCATTCCTCTTTTGTTGCTGAAATGAATGAAGAATTTTGGGGTTATAGTTTGTCAATTGTTAAGTTTGTTCTCAATTTTAGTTCCTTTTGATAACTCATTTGCTGTTTTAAGTTAATGTTATCCCTTGCAGGCATTTATAATTGCTTCAACTGCAACTGAGGAGGAAATGATAAATTGGTAAATACTTGAATGCTAAAACTAATTTTGTCCCAATTGCTACATGTTTTGTTTCAATGAGTTCATGCATACAATTGCTACATGTTCTGTTTGATTAATCAATAAAGATTTGGCTGTTTTTGTTTTAGGTACCATGAGCATGTTGTGTGGGGTGACAAGGACCTGAAGTTGAAACTCCTTAGGAAGGGAATTCTAACTCGTGTATATGCTCCCATGGTAAGCATGACAATGATATCTTTTAAATAATACTTGACAGAATAAGAGTGAAAAAAAAAAAAAAAAAAAGAAGGGTTAAAACTACAGTTAGTGAATTGACTGGTCATATTCATCAATTGACCATACATTGGCCAATGTCCGAAATCTGCATATGCGGTTACTACTTTAATAGTCAGAGAACCTTTTGCATTTCTCTTGGGATTTGTTTTGGAAGAAAAAGAATTGCTTATTTTTGTGTAGTACCAACAATCCAAAACTCTCTCGGATCCCATTTTTTGTTAATTTTTTATCAATATTCTTTTCCATTGTACATGTCAGGCCATAATACAAGGTTTGAGGGAGTCAGGTGTCTTCACCTCTGTTATTAAATCTGCCCAGACAACCATTTCAAAGGACAAGTTTTTGAAATCCATTGATAGTAGTAACTCATCAAGAGCTGTTGCCTCTGAATCGGACCCCTCGAGAAAGGTTGGTAGAAGCAAAGAGTACCAGGCAACTGTTCGGAAGGTATTGGATATTGAAGTCGAGTCTTATGAAGCAGCTGTTCCACCATTGTCTCCCCCAGGATTTAATGATGACCATCTGATGGACATGTGATAGATTTCCTGGCTTGATTGCTTATTTTTCTCCTTCCTGTTTTGAATGGCCAAATTTAACTAAATACCTATTGAAGGGAGGAATCAGGAGAGAAAAGGATGAGCAAATGGGTTATTGTTGTGGTATATCTGTCCTTGGTTCAATTGGTTCTTCCCGATCTTTCACCAAGCGCTGCTGGACATTCTGAGGAGAGAATTATATTGGTCTTTCTGGTCATGGCAAGTTGATTTTGCCAATAGAGTTTTTGGCCTTGAATTCTCATGTATAGAGACCACATTTTTACAGTCGAAGATATTATCATTGTATTTTGACTAGTTGTGTGAGAACGAAAGAAATTATATATTTATTATTTTCATGCATAAATTGCAAATCATTTTCTCGTACAGATGACATGACTTACAATACAGGACTAACTCCTGTTACATAATACATGAACCTCTACTGAATTACAAACAAAAACAGGGAAGAAATTAACTGAAACATGATCTCTTGCATACCTACTACTTAGTCAATTATCGTCATCAGGTGCCAGGATTTGTGTTCTAACTTCTAACGGATAACGGAATTCTCACAGCATGAACTCCGTCCGTCCAAGTAAGGCTGCCAAATTAGAATCCTGTGTTCACCTTGTGGGATGTGGAGACGGTAACCTGGTAAGAGATATTCTTTGCGGTAGTCTTGAAGTGCAAGACTTGATGTGTTACTGATACCTTAATGCCGAATGGAGGTTCAATAACTGCTGTATAGTTGCAATCTGAGAGGCTCCAACATTTGTTACAGTTCTGGTGAGGGTAACGGAATTCCTAAGATTTGGTATGGTTATTGAGTGTATTTGGGAAGTGTGAATTGAGATAGCTGGCAATAAGCAAATGGGCATAAGAACGCGTTTGGATGTACCGTTGGGTCTTCTTTATCTTACTGGCAAAGTCGGGACGCGTAAATGGCTAACCCATCTCACATACACTCACTTTATTGTCTCTTTCCTGGCAGGTTCCTTGAATGCACCTAAACCCCACTTTCTTTTATAAAAAACACGTTAAACAATAAATTAAACTCACTTCTTCCATCTATATATATACTGCTCATTTCTCTTCACTTCAACACACAAAACACAAATCTTTCTCAGCTTCTTCTGCTATTAAGCTTTCTAAAATCTTTAGCCTTTTTCTCTTCAAAAAAATGGCTTCTTTTGTTTTCAAACTATTCCTTCTGATCTCTCTATTTCAAATCTCTTTTGCTGCAAGAACTCTTAATGAGCTTGTAAAAGATCAAGGGTCTCAACTCTTGCAATACCACAATGGCCCTCTTCTGTCTGGAAAAATTTCCATTAATCTTATTTGGTATGGCAAATTCAAGCCTTCCCAGAAAGCCATCATCTCAGATTTCATCACCTCACTGTCTTCTTCTTCACCAGCAAAAACCAATCAGCCTTCAGTAACCTCGTGGTGGAAAACCACTGAGAAATACTACCACCTAAGCTCCAAAAAAAACAGTCTTTCCCTCTCTCTCGGAAAACAAATCGTTGATGACAAGTACTCGCTTGGAAAATCGCTCTCAAACAAACATATCGTAACTTTGGCCTCAAAGGGTGAGCAAAAAGATGCCATAAATGTTGTATTAACATCTTCTGATGTAACCGTTGATGGGTTTTGCATGAGTCGATGTGGGACTCATGGGTCTGCTCCGGGATCCAAGAGTGGCCAAGTTAAGGGCAAGAACTACAAGTTCGCTTATATCTGGGTTGGTAACTCCGAGACTCAGTGCCCAGGTCAATGCGCATGGCCATTCCACCAACCCATTTACGGACCACAGAGCCCACCTTTGGTTGCACCAAACAATGACGTGGGTCTTGATGGAATGGTGATCAACTTGGCTGGTCTTTTAGCCGGAACCGCCACGAACCCATTTGGAAATGGCTATTTTCAGGGTCCAAAAGAGGCACCACTAGAAGCTGCATCAGCTTGTCCTGGTGTTTATGGCAAAGGGGCTTATCCTGGTTATGCAGGTAACTTGTTGGTGGACCCTACAACTGGTGCTAGCTACAATGCAAATGGTGCTAATGGAAGGAAGTACTTGGTTCCTGCTCTGTATGATCCTTCTACATCGTCTTGCTCAACTTTGGTCTAAGAAGGGAATAGTCTAGTAGATTATTAGTAGAATGTATACTTAATTATATAGCTGGAGATAGTGTAATTCTTTGATTTGTTATTTATTTGTTATGCAATTGCGGATTAATAATAGAAGAGCAAATTGCTCTGGTTTGCTTTTTTCAGACGAGAATTTGTGTCAACGATTTGCAATTTCATTCCATAATTGATTTAGTGCTACAACTAATGGCCCATTAATTGATGGACAGTTCTTGAGCTAGGGCCGGCTTACAGTGAGATATGCCCATACTTCGGACAGACCGATCTAGCAGAAGAAACCTTCATCCCCAACAAGATGGACCCAATTGGAATAACTGTCACTTGTCAAATGATGACTATAAACAATTTGATGAACTTACAATCACCAAATTCAAATATAGCCCATGTTATGTACTTAAAACCTGCTTCACGATATGCATTATAGTTAACATGTCATGTCTTCCATGTTCTCTTTCATTGTTCATATGATCACATTATATATATTTGAAAAAAGAAAAAGAAAATTGAAATCTTTTGCATCCTCAATACATTCATAGTCATAGACGCGTTTTTGCAACATTGAATGTGCTCCAATTTGATGGCACTAAAAATGTTCACTGTCTTTCACCATATTTGGCTTCTCGTTGTCCTATTCTCCCCTTGGTTGGCAATACACGGTGATGTTTAATTGTTTATGACATATATTCGTTTGAAAGCGAGAGTAGCGGCGCACCATCAATTAACAAAACCAACGCGTGGTCTTGCAGGCACTTGTTTCCTAGGAACTTTGTCTTTGACAGCTATTTATATCACCCCCGTATTCATCTTCAATTTGTAGGATCATACAACTTCACTTCAGTTTAACTTGAAAGCGGAACCAGTAAAAGAATTGTTTCCGTACCATGGTGGTCCTCTACTTTCCGGGAATATCCCCGTTAATCTGATTTGGTATGGACAGTTCAGTCCCGCTCAGCGTGCAATTGTCTCAGACTTCATTGCCTCTGTTGGTGTTCTAAGCTATGCCGAATTGACAAAGAAAAGGAGAACTGAAAAGAACTTAATCCATACTTCATTAGCCAACAAAAACTGAATATAACATACTTTTAGCTTACTGTTACAACCACTGTCAGTAAGTCTTTTACATAATAACAGGTAATCCACACAAATCTAACAACTACATTACACTTTGGAGACACAAAGCCTCAACTCTGGACCAAAACAGATTGTTGATCAAAACCAATCATCTGAATCGCATAATCACAACTATGAAATATGAACTTCAAAATCAGAACGCATGTGTACTCACTGTGGTGGAACTGGACATACCAAGTCAAGGTGCTATGAACTGATTGGGTATCCAGATTGGTGGGATCCTAGTAAAGCACCTAAACGGAATTAAAAAACAAAGCCTCATGCTTCTGTTGTTGTGGCCGAACCTTCTAGCAACCTTGAAGAATCTTCATCATTAATCGCTACTTCAGGTAATATTGGTAAGGCTCTTAATGTTTCCACACTTAATAGTAATAGTACTTGGATAATTGATTCTGGAGCTACGGATCACATGACTTTTGACACTAATCATGTTCAGTCTATGAAATCATCCAAACAATCCAAAGTGTCCACAGCCAATGGTACCCCTTTTCATGTTATTAGAGAAGGCTCAATTACTCTTACCGAAAATTTAAACTTGGATTCAGTTTTGGTTGTTCCCTCTCTTAACTATAACTTATTGTATGTTGCTCAAATAACATGTACTTTGCATTGTATTGTGATATTTTGGCCTAACTTTTGTGTTTTTAAGGACATCCGGACTCGGAAGACAATTGGCTATGGTATTAGAAAAGAGAAGCTCTATTATCTTGAGTTGACTTCGGCAAGTTCGAATCAATTATCCTAACCATTCTCAGTTGAAAGATCTGGCAATGTTCAAAACTCTAAAATTTGGTTATGGCATAAGCGGTTAGCCCATGCTTCTTTTGGATATTTAAAAAAATTATTTCCAAAGATGTTTTCTCAATTGACTAATTCTAGTTTTAAGTGTGATATTAGTGAATTGGCTAAAAGTCATTGTGTTACTTTTCCAATTAGTATGAATAAAAGTCCAGTACCTTTTATGGTTGTTCATTCGGATGTATGAGGTCCTGCAAAGATTTCTTCTCTAAATGGTGCATGCTGGTTTGTTTCATTTATTGATGATCACACACGTATGACTTGGGTTTGTTTGATGAAATCAAAAAATGAAGTTAGTTCTTTGTTTCAGAAATTTCACAAGATGATAGCAACTCAATATCAATCTCATATGCAGGTTCTTCGCATTGATAACGGTGGAGAGTTTGTTAATCAAGACTTAAAAAAATATTTGAATTTACATGGTATTGCTCATCAAACGACTTGCCCTTACTCCCCCCCAACAAAATGGGGTTGCAAAACACAAGAATCGTCATCTTCTTGAAGTTGTACATGCATACAAGAATCGTCATCTTCTTGAAGTTGTACATGCATTTTTATTTGGGGTTCACATGCCTACCAGTTACTGGGGTGAAGCTGTCACAGTTGCAGCCTATCTCATTAACCGTGTACCATCAAGTTCATTACAATTTAAGACTCCTCTCCATGTGCTTCATGAGACTATAAGTTCTCCTGCCGTGCCAAATCTGCCACCTAGAGTATTCGGATGTGTAGCCTTCGTACATCTTCACAAATCTTTGAGAAATAAATTGGAACCTCGAGCTATTCGATGTGTATTTGTAGGCTATGGCTTGTATCAGAAAGGCTATCGTTGTTATCACCCTCCTTCTCGCAAGATGTATGTTACACTTGATGTTACCTTTCATGAAAATGAAATGTATTATTTTGTCCCTGAGTCTCCATTTTAGGGGGAGAGTAGAGATGAACTGCAGACTCTAGATGACTTGGAGGATTTTACAAGTAATGGCAACTGGGAAAGTCAAAATGAGGAAATTAGTCATACTTTAAATGATGAGGCAGGTCATATTGTAGACAATGAGAATGAAATGGAAGTAGTACCGCCAGTCTCTTCATCACCAGAAGTAACAGCTTCCTCTCCTCAATCTGTATCATTTAATCAATTGTCTCCCGAAGCCGAGTCCATCTCCGAACCTCAGGTAAACTCTGAAACCCATATAAAAGTGTTACCAAATCAAGTCACAAGAGGTATACCTAAAGTAAATTATGAACCTACTCTTACCTCCAAACCTAAATATCCCATGAGTAATGTTGTGTCCTA